TTCAGTCCCGTTCTTCCAAAATACTTTGCCAGTACCTCGAAATATCTTCCCAGAACCTTATGTTACTCTTTAGAACCAGTCGTTTGTTGGGATTCGAATACGAGTATGTTCCCTAAAGTAAGTGATGGTCACGTTTTTTTTAAATACTGGCCCGTTCTACCCGCAAAACTATACCAGGAGTCAAAATATTCTCATTTTTCGTGAAATGGATGTTTTTTTACTTTCTTGCCTTCATTTTGTAAGAAGAGAAAATATTGCATTTTTGCGCCGGAAAACTGCTAATTTTCGGCATAAAATCTTATTGCGGGGCCTTGGTGACGAAAAAACGGAAAAATCTTGTTCCTATAGAAAATTACTTCCTCTAACATATTGTGTAGTCGAAATCTGTTTTGGTGCTCCTTGACACCGAAGAATCGATTGACCCCAAAATGACTGTTTTTGTCTGTCCGTCTGTCTGTCAACGCTAGCACGTAACACCGATCAACCGATTTTCCCTAAAAATTAAACTCCTCGATTGATTTCAATAAACTCAAGTCTTTCTGAGTTTTAAATAAGTATTTTGATTTTAGGGGATATTTCACATGAAGCTTCAATATTTTCAACATTTCCCCCAAAATATGTCCAAACATTTTGTTTGAACTTTGAGCTCGGATGGCGTCAAGGTCTCTTACAAGAATGTATCATCAGAGCTCATTCTCGTTTAATCTTCTTAATTTTTCGAAAATTGCAGAAGATCATTTTCAGCGTTTCATACCTACACTATTGCAGATGGAGATTTTTTCTGAGCAAATTCTGTTCTCTAAAGACAGATCTTGAAATGAGTTCATGAACGATTTTTAAAAAATGCGAACAGTTTTCGTGTAATTTTGTGTTAAATATAGGAAATTTGTAATTAATTTTTTCTCAAAGCGGCTTCACATTTTTTCATTTAATTTTATCTTAGTATGTATTAATGAATGGTATAAGAATTGGTGCTGGTCTTATTTTCCGTAAACTATTCGTATTTTGGAAAACTGAAAAAAGCTAACATTTCAAAATTACAAAACTGAAGTTAGAGAGTTTTGTTTTTACCTATAGTAAAAATCTTTTAAAAAGGTCTAGTATAATGTTTTGATAAAACGACGAATTTCTGCACTTTTTGTGGTTGAGATAATTGCTATTTGTAAAACAAAAAAATCTCTCATCACCCTTCAATTTTTTTCTTGGATAAGAGAATGGAGTGAGTCTCATTTTCATTCAACTCTCTGAATGATCGAAAATTGAAAATTTAGAAAACGTGCGAGAAAGTATGAGTTGCAATATAGCCCGCTGGTGAGCCTAACAGCCGCGGCACTTCGCTGATCCTTACGGGAGCTAGGAAACGGACGAAGTTTCACATTGTGGCCGTTGGAGCGCTGGTCGCCAACTATTCGCGAGAACTTCGGGGCGTTTTAATGTAAGGGGAAATGCCTGCACTTTGGGCAATTTTGGTCCCTTACAGTGATATAAGGCATTGCAAACTCATGCTTACGGTAATACTAAGCAATACGAAAATGAGATATCTCTGTGCTGTTTGCTTAAAAGACGTTGTGAAGTGAATACTTCTAATTAACCCTCAAAGGACACGCGGAAAATCTACCTGGTTAGAGATGCAACAGTCATTGTATTTGATGTAAAAAATAAAATATTTATTCTTAATTATTTCTGATATTTACTGTATTTTCATGTGATTATAGAGACCTATAATGCATGTAATACCTATAAACGTATTAAAGACAATGGAGGAAAATGTAAAGAAAGCAAAACTTATTTTATCAGTTTTATACCATCTATATTGATATACCCTAACTGAATTAATTCTGTAAACTATATTACAAAAATAAATAATAATAAAAAAAATTCAAAATAGAAGGGTTTATTGCCGAAGTAAAACAACAAATCACCAAATAACCGAAAGAAACTAGTTTTAAAACGGACAATGGGCGCAGAGAGAATAACACCACTTATGATATAGCACTCCAAATCACTAACGCAGTGGCAAAAACGTTCTCACCGAGAGATAGAACTAGAAAGTTACTTTGAAATAGCGTAATTCATATTGGCGATCACGTGGACCTACACGAAAAAAAAATTTCATCACCATCAACTGATGTACAATGTAGAAATTCTTTCTAATGCTTGAAGTAGGCCTCTTCCAAATTTCACAACAATGATAGAGCAACATATCAGGCATCAGAAATAAAAATCAACAATCAGATAAAATATCGTGATTTCCAATGTCGATTGTGAGAAAATGTATTACGTTTGATTGCAATTGTTACAATACGTGAAACATCCAAAGCTGTATCAGACGATCATTCCCACTACTTGAGACAGTGTGTTCTCTTTGAACGTAAACAGAAGCTATTTGTGCTATTTGCGAGTGTTTTTGAGTGTATTTGTGAGTGTTTTTGTATTTGTGAGGTAGCCAATGTAAGAGTTATATATTTTATTAACGTTGAGAAACATTAAGAATGTATGTTATTTTTTTACTATGGGAAGATATTGTAGTTTTTGACGTGTTAAATAAATCAAACTCATCATTAAATAACCCTGAAGGTAATCAGTTGAAGCGCAATTTATTGTGAAAGCTGTATCACAACTTCCAAGGATCGGTGTAAAAAATGTTCAAAAATATATTCAGCCATCTTTGCAAAGAAGCCGTTTCTTTGGGTGTGACGAGAGCGTAGTACATTTAATAACGATCACTGACATAATTTATGAACATTTTGTGCACGTGATTGTGAAAAACATTGCTGTTGTTATTCATGAAGTAATGGAGAGGCGTAAGTACTTGAATCTAAAGCCTCGAAGTCGGAAAAGTTCTATGTTTGTAATGCGGATCTCCGTATATTTGCATGCAGCAGTCGATCGAGGAATGGTCGGCGAGCAGCGCGCCAGCGGTGAGTTTCGGAACTTTAGCTAAAACAAGAATCAGGCCGGAGCGCCGAGGCTTTAAAGCTTAGTATCGGGCTATGGCAGTAGAAGCAACACTAATTTCAATTAGGTTGATCGTGCTGCTCGAGTGGCATTTTATACCGGTCCTATGTTATAGGGTTAAGTTATCACTTGCTGAAAACGATTATCAACCTAATTGAAAATTTTTGGCTTCGGCTTTATGGAACTCATACTCGTATGGGATTAAAATCTTTGATATTGTTTTAAGGGTCAAGACACAACAGAGGCTGCTCTCTCCTTCGCCATCTATCTGTTGGCGTGCCATCCAGATGTTCAAGTATGTATAATTATTAATGTAAATTAATATAAATATTTGACAACTCATTTGTGTCCAAAATGGCTAATTCGAAATTGTTGAATCATTGTTTACCCCGATCTTCAGGAAGAACTCCTGGAAGAGCTAAAAAGCGTGTTCGACTGGTCACAACCTCTACAGCCGTCAATTCAACAGCTTGGAGAACTGAAGTACTTGGAAATGGTGATTAAAGAGACTCTTCGATTGTACCCGCCTGTGCCAGTTGTTGTTCGTGACATAACAAATGACGAGAAACTTCCGTCGAGTAAGTGATGTCAAGCGGAGCGCAAAAGAATAGCTGCAGCTTCTCGATAAAATGCAGGAAATGTTGACTCCGGTAGGAAATTCCCACGTTTCAATTCTATTACAAATATTTTTGTTCCATTGCATTATATGAAACGTTAATTATAAAGTGCCATGTTCCATGGATTTCTGGAGTTCTATCACTATTCTATTTTACTGACATTCTCTTGCACTTCACTGACATTCTCCTGTACGAATGACGCTAGAATCATTGTTGCTCAAAAAATAATAGAGAAAATTGACACAATTGAGCCATTTCGAATTGTTCGGATACATGACTGATTTAAGGAGTTATGGGAGAATGAAACAAAAAGATCAAATGGTTTCTGGTTTCTGACAGGGAGGTGGTTGCTAGTTTCTAAGAGGTCCCTTACCCTTACAGCGGGTCACTTGATCCCCGAAGGCGCCGTAATGCTCATCTGCCCCTGGGCAGCGCACCGCAACCCGGAAGTGTACCCGGACCCGGAGAAGTTCGACCCGGAGCGCTTCAGCGCGGGCGAGACGGCGCGACGCCACCCCTACGCCTTCCTGCCCTTCAGCGCCGGCCCGCGCAACTGCATGGGTGAGGCACACGCACAGTTCGTTGTCTTGGAACAAAACGTTATGCATGTAGCTTTTTACACTTCAAACTACTCGTGGTTACCTCTAATGTTCACACCCCTACACCTTCCTGCCCTTAAGCGCCGGCCCGCGCAACTGCATCGGTGAGTCACTCTGTGACCGCAGTGTGTGGGTGACTCACGCTACTTCATTTCCCAGCTTTTAGACCAATACATCGGCATCACGTATTTTCACATTTCGCCCTGAGGAAGGCCGCAGATTGATAGTCGAAACGTTGTCCCCTTTTTCTAGGACGCGGCGTCTCCCAGAGAGCCAAGTAGTTAGTAACCTAGTTTATGCACATCGGCGCTTAAAGATAAGCGTAGCCGGTTACAGTCACGTGACGCCAGTGACAAATCACGGACTCTGTGGCAAACATAAGCGATAACTGCGCTCGGTTCGGTAAGCGAAGCTGCATAAAGTGTACCGAATCGGCTGCGGGTTATACTTGTATTAGGTTTTTAGTATGTCTTATAAAAGTAAAATTCATCATTGCGGACAAAACCGGCTGCGGTTTTCTGAAAAACCTTGTGTATGCCATTCAAGGAAATTCCTGTCTGTGAGGTTGGAAGCCAGTGAGGAGGAATACCGAAATTCTGGTGGTGTCGTAAACAGGAAAACCCTTTAAAATAAGAATCAATTCAACATGCCAATTGTTACTGCCTTTATAATTCCAGGTCGATTTAGTACTAAAATGTCGTGATTAATTGCATTTTCTACAACGTCCAATTAATATTCCCAAGGACCCATGCTTCAATTTAAATCTTCCGTGGCAGGGAGCAGCACATGCATGCTAAAGAGAAGTGAACACTTGGTCACACTTAGCAATCGCTTCTCGGTGTCTTCCCGGAGACAAATGATCACGGTGTAAAATAGAGGTACTAAGTGGAAACCACACTAAACAAAATGAAAAAATCGATGTACGAAATCGAAAAAGCGCCAAACTTATGTGTAACTTAATACTGTTGCTATCAGATGTCGTCACCTTATAAGCATAAACCTTGTGCAAAAACTCTCTCTCTCTGAGCTTCATACAAGTTTCGACGTGACGTTATTTATAATCGTTGACGTTAGCCGTTTCGATTAATTCCAAGACCTCTCTACTGACTCCTTCCGCGAAAGCCAACGCTTTCATTATAGGTCGTGTCTTCAGTCCTTTAGTCCCTTACAGAAATATTTAATTCAATCCTCAGCTACATGTCTTTCAAATCTATTCTACAAGTAGAATGTACTAACATGCGCAATGCAGTACGTATGTTGTATGTACTGTATGTACCAAAGTCCGCAGAACTTTGCTCTGTTTATCGCGATGTTTAAGTAATTTATTACATTGTGTATTTGTCGACCCGTGTAACTGGTTGAGTATCTTGGGAATAAAACTACTTTCGAGAAAGCGTAATTTTTTCACATTTCACTACCGCAAACACATTTGCCGTTATAAATGTGACGATATAACTTCAACAGGCATGATTTACAAACCTAAATTTTCATTCACAATATCAATGATGTGTTCCATGGTAGATAGTTAAGGAAGTAAGCCAAGGTCTGTGTGACCACGTCTCTCCTATCATTGGGAATCTAATGTTTTTTTTGTCGACGTGTTCCAAGAATGGTAATTTTCTTTCGGAGATGTTGGGTCAAGGAAACACTGGTAAAGAAATTGTCCATTATTACGTTTCTCGACGATCCTTCAATGGTTTTCACCAAATTTTTCACATATTGGCACCCAAATTCTTTTTTACATGCGCATTCGGTTTCCTCCCCGTGTAGATTCAGTCACCAATGGCATACGAGGTATTTGCTTCACATATCCAAAATATCTCTCCATATTTCTCCATATCTATAACTCCATATTTTGCTGGTTTGTTGACTGTATGTATACTGAATGAAGTTGCATCTCCCTCTAAAAGACGTTATTTGCTCATTAACTGTAAGAAAGGTCGTTGGAATAATAGTATTTCTGCAATTTTCAAGAAATTTACCTCAAATGTAAGAAATTGCTGCAAGTTTATTATTTTCGGCCCGAATCTATCTTGTTCTGCGATCATCAAATCTTATTGCTATCTAATGCTTTTGAATGCTTTCTAATGCTATCTAATGCTTTTATAGACATTGCAGCACTGTATACAGGATTTCCCTTTTCATCTAAAAGTAACTCTCATAGGGACATCCCAAATTTTTCCACACCAGCTAATAAAATAATTCCTAAGAAAGCATTCATTTTATTCACAGAAACGTTTTTCCAGATTTTACTTTTCTCTGCTGAAATTCTTTTGCCTTCCAAATGTATACAAAGGACAATTTCTTCTATAATTTCGTTAGAAAAAAAGTAATTTCAAGCAAGTTTTGAATTCACAGTAGTAACACCTTTCTTGGGGCTAGAAAGATATCTTGCAATGTTATGGGATGGAGTGCGGGAAGAAACTGGAGATTCACGATTCCAAGTAGTTCCATTGCGACGTATGAAAGGTGCTGGATTTGAATAGCTAGGATTATTATTACTCAGATGTGCTGTCATCTTCACTCGCAGACTCGAAGGAAATATAGTTCTCATCTACGTCTGAAACTTCACTTTCCCCATCACTGAGGACATCTTCCTAATCAAGCCATTCTGTCACAATCTCTTCAAAATGTTTAGGAGCCAAGTTTCTATTCAAATTGGCACTCACTAACGCACTTCTACTACTACCGCTCGCGCACAAAGCTCAGTTACCTCTAAATTGTAAAAGTGTAGCGTCAACAATCGGTGGCTATCAGCCTCAGTTCTAGGAAAATAAAATGTGGCAACAAAGATAAGGAGTACGCAGCGTTCCTCGAATGTTTACATCTCAGTAGACAATGGATTATAGAGAACATCACCTAGAGCCCCAAAAGCCCTACGTTCATGTATAAATGAAAATTTCACTATTATTCGGAAATACATAAACCAAACCTGACGATTATGCAATCTAATTGTAGAAGAAAGATAATGCCAGTGCGGCGGCGATGGTGTAACGGTTAGCGTACTGGACTGTTGTACCCAAGTTGACGGGTTCAAACCCGATCGAAGCCGTGGATTTTTAAGGGCGAAAAAATCCTTCGTACGCCTTACTTCGGAGGGGAAGTAAAGCCGGCTGCCCCATGTTCGTAGATTTACTTGCATGTAAAAGATGCATGTAAAAGCCTAAATGACGCCTCTGAGCTAAATTCAAATCGCCTCTTTCTCGCCCAAGAAATACCTCCTTTCTCTCCCTCCTAGTTGGTGAAAGGAGCGTAGCGAAATTTGCATGGTCAGACGGAAGAGCGGGCCTGATGGCCTAGTCTCGCCACGTAAAATAAGGCAAATTCAATTCAATTCAATGCCAGGAATACCTAAGAAAAAAAGAAGCTAGGATTAAAACCTTTTGAGTAATTTCTCAAATAATATTTCACACCGCCTTAGAGGCCCTGCTTATGTATTCGAGGGTAAAGTAAGTCATTTTGACAAAAACCACCGATTCATATATCAATAGACAAGATAATGGTAAAAGACCTACATTAATAAAGAGAGACTTACAAGAATCACGTGGATGGGATTTGCTTTTTATTCGTGCCATTCTTTTTTGTAATCTAAATGTCTGGGGGCTATAAACGTATTTTTTCCCATTCTCTTGTCGATATTCAATTCAAAGGAATTAGGGGAGCAAGGAATGTTTTAATTGTGTGTGTGGGGAGAAAGGGACATAAGATCATTTTTAAGAATTTCTAAAATTTAATCAGAAACTACTCCGGAAAAAGACCATCGAATGGGCATAATATTCGCTTTAGAGCTTCAGAATTTTCAAAAATTATTAATACTATTTGTTGCCATCGTATATGTACGTATGTACGGAGTAATATTGTGGGAATACATTTTGCAAAGGTATACATTTTTTGCTCCCTTGTAACTTTACTTACTCCCTTGTACTTTACTTTGCTCCCTTTAATCTACTTTACTTAACGGATACTTCTTTACTATACTAATTTAACGTACTTTATTAACAGAACCTACTTTACCATACTTTATTTAACCTACTTTACTTAACAGAACGTACTTTACTATACCTAATATAACCATATTTACTTAACGGAACATACTTTAATATATTTAATTAAACTGCAATATATATATTGCAGTTTAACGTATATCAAGGGATACAATACGAGCTACACATAATCCGTAGTCACCGGTTAGTGAAGATCACTTCGCCTCCAAAAGTATGATACTAAATCACGACGATTAGTCACCATTAATCATTAGGACCATAAAACATTCATACACTAAAAAATAACAAATTAACATAAATCATGAAATGTTATAATGTATTTCATTAATAGAGTTCATTATTTAGCTCATAGTCAGCCTTGACTCTGTCTCAGCAGCGACTCTGACTGGGAGGCCCTAGAGTTCCAGGTCTGACGATGGCGGATTTTCGATTCTTTTGTTAAATGTGTCTATTAACAAATATTAGAGAAGGTTGAGTTCAAGCTTCTTGTTAACAAATATTCATCGCTGTTTGCAGGTCAGCGATACGCCATGCTGGAGATGAAAAGCGTGCTGTCCATGGTAATCTGGAATTTCGAGATATTTTTGGAACCAGGATTTACAGTTCTTCCAGGTTGGAAAGTCATCCTGAAACCTGTAAATGGAGTACGAATTCGACTTGAGGATAGGCGCAAAAACTATGATAATACAGTTTTTTAAATTCTGTATTATTTTATATTATTTAATATAATACGTGAGTTCTTCTACCAATATTACTGTTGTCAAAAATATGTTTGTAATAGTTTTTTCTCGCTTAGAATTGCTCGCTGAAAAAAACACAATGAACATCTTTGGTTTTTCTAAGTCTTTTGCAAGAATTATTTTTTTACTAATTTT